ACGTTCGCTTTCAGTGCTATCAGGCTAAAGTTAGCATTTTCCAAGATCTCCTACTGCACCTTTAAGTTTATTCGTTTATGTTAAAACTGTGTCATCCAAATGGATGTATATTTTATATGCAACTCAAATACATAAATCTTTTAAAGAATATTATAGCAAAATAACATGGTATTACCGTCACTGCATCCCACTATAATATATTTTTCTTATTGCAAATGAAGTCAGAACAAGAAGGGAAAAACAGCAACAGCACAGGGGTGATGTGACCCTGGTTTGGACTTTGTTGCATTTTGCACACCTACCTTAACAACTCTGTTATCCAGGGCTTTTGTGTGCTCCTCAAACTCCTCGCCGATGGTGAAGTCGACCTCATAGTTTCTGAAGGTGCTGAGTGTTTTGGTCTCAAATTTGTCTCCGTTCTGCACAATGACCTTAGTCTGCTTGAGATGCACTGCGATCTTACGGGTGGCAAAGTCAATGTCTGTAGGAGAGGAATAGAATGATATATTAAAGTCTCAAAAAAGAAAGATCAGCACGATCCAAGTAGGAATGTGCGAAAGTATTAAAAAGAGGCTTTGAAATCACTTATATTTCATCCTGTGATGCAACAGACTGACAGAAATATTCATACACTGGGACAAAGGTGGCCGAAGTGTTCAAGTTCGCTCAACTCCCACCTTTATCAAAGCGACTGATAAGATACTATGACCTTTGACCCTGAAACAAGCAACCCACTTATTGACTCATTTCTTGCACAAGTAAAGATACTCAAAGTTTTTTCTTCATTTAAATTCGTTTATTAATTAACAATGATTTTATTTATTTAGTTATTTACCTCAAGTCATCTAAAAATGCTGCAAAAGCCTGGTCAGCATTTTTATTACTATTAAGCACAATGAGTACATGCAATAAAATCTGTTGCAAAATGAATATTCTAAATTTATGCAACCCCAGTGCATGATGCATGAAACGTCTTACACCGCTATTGTGCGCTATATCCTCTTTTTTACCCTGAGATTTTGTAACAACTGCATTTTCATTTTCAAGTTTATGGTTTTTATATTTTATTTTAATCGTTAATGTCAAGTAATGCATTTTTTTTGTTATTTTAGTTGTAGTTAATGATAATAACCCATATAAAGTCTTAAATATGAAGTGAGTGCATGCATTCAGATCTGTTGCAAAATGAAAAAAAAAAAAGACATGAAATGTATTATTTTGCACTACATCGTCTTTGCAGCAATTGCACATTCATTTATACATGGCTACGGTGAACTCTGTCCGCTAAGAACAAGATAACCTATATGTAGATATAAGAGCCTGATCTGCATCTCTGGTGTGTAAATGCTCCTGTTGATAACTTTAGGATTCCAGCAGGCATTCAGTAAAAGAAATCACATACCCAGAGCCTTCATGACATCCTCAAAGTTGTCATTGCTGACCATCTCCCACGTTCCATTGAAATCAGCCGGCATTGTTAAGCTGGAGGTCGTGTGAGTAGAATGAGGTGAGCCACGGCCTTTTATTGCGGTGTGAGTGATCAAATGAACTGTACGAACAGAGTTCTTCTGATAAGTCCCTTTATCTTCATTGAAAAAGGGGTGGGCTTTATTAAGGGGATGTACTCGTGTCAGCATTTAATATGGTCTGAGAGAAAGATACAGACAAGTTGCTTATCACTCAAATAGCTTTATGCTAGTAGCTTTGTTTGCAATTAAAATATTTTATTAAACATACAAAATATAAGCATTTTCACTACTGGTCTCAGACTTAATATAAAGTCTTACTTTATGTTTGAGGTCGATACGATTTTTTAAATATTTTTGAAAGAAATCTCTCATGTTCGCCAAGGCTGCATTTTTTTAAATTACAAGAAAAAGTACCAATTAAATAATAGTAAAAAATACAATAGAAACAGTAATACTGTGAAATATTTTGACAGATTAAAATAACTGTTATAATATATTTTAAAATAGAATTTATTCCTGTGTTGCAAAGCTGAATTTTCAGCATCATTTCATGACATCCTCAAAGTTGTCATTGCTGACCATCTCCCACGTTCCATTGAAATCAGCCGGCATTGTTAAGCTGGAGGTCGTGTGAGTAGAATGAGGTGAGCCACGGCCTTTTATTGCGGTGTGAGTGATCAAATGAACTGTACGAACAGAGTTCTTCTGATAAGTCCCTTTATCTTCATTGAAAAAGGGGTGGGCTTTATTAAGGGGATGTACTCGTGTCAGCATTTAATATGGTCTGAGAGAAAGATACAGACAAGTTGTGTAGATATTGCAGGTGTCATGAAATTTTAAAGCTGTGAAAGCAGTATCCCACACTTTGTCATGTTATACTTCCTCATAACTAGTTTAATCAGCAGTTTTCAAATAATCTTGTGGAATTATTGTGCATTAGAATTCTAAAGTTTAAAACAATTTTCTAACATTCTTTGGAACATTCCCTAGTCTAAAGTCCAATACAAACTTGTGGAGTTCAATAACAGCTGTTATTGAACCAAAAGGGGAAAAAACCAAATA